TATGAAACTTTTGGATCAAAGAATCAAGAAAACCTTTTGGACATAAGAACACAAGGAATTGAAAAAATTAGAAAACAAAGGATATAGCCTGATTAAATTGAAGCCAAAGCTCTGATACCAACTGATGCGAACCTCGTAGCAATGGAAACTACGAAACCCACAACGAGATTGATGCGGAACCCAAGAACGCCAATACTAACTCGGTTTTGGATCTTGAACCCCAAGAATTGAACCAAGAAATTCTAGATTAGCGAATAACCTAAAACCCCTTGATTACAATTGAAAGAACCCACAATCCGATTGATTAGAACGCCACAAGAAGTTGATTCTTGATAAGTTCGAAGATTATTCAAGAAGAATAATAAATTGAAAGAATAAATTTCTCTCTCTATAATATTAATTCAAAAGTCAAAAGTTCAAAAGTTGTTACACTGAAAAGTAATCTCCTATTTATACTAATGAATAAAAACGTCTAAAACCATCAAATTATAGTAATAATTTGATTTCATACGAATTCTATCGAAACTAGGAAATTCAGCCAAAAATAGAAAATTCGTCAATTTTTTGGCTTGTGCGGCCGCATGGTGTAAATCCATGCGATCGCATGGTTCAACAAAAGAAACAATTTTTATTTTCGGTATGCATGTGTGCGGCCGCATGGTGTTGTTTTCTGCCTCCACTTTCGTCGCTTGATAACAAATTGATCCAAGTCGATTTGGCTTTCGACCCGACATGAAAGTTGCTCCATTTTGAGTCCCGAGCATAGTTCCATCAATGGTTTCTTGAACTAGCAATCCCATCGCTTGTTTCACTTACTTTGTCCTTGATCGCGTCATTGGTCCACCATCGACTATCAACGGGTCTCGTCTCGTACTTGCCTTCATCGGGCCCGACTCCTGGATCATATCACTTGCCATGGAAATTGAAAAGAAAGGAAGTTTGGAGTTCAGTGGGCTATGGAGATTTCAGAGCTCTAATAACATGTAAAGTGATAGGAAATGTGAAACACGTAAAGAAAGGATAGGGAATTGGAGAAGAATCATGTATATTCTGTGTTTTGAATTGATATACAGCAGGTAATTTATACAAGAAGAAGAAATTAATTTTATGCCTAACTATAACAACTTTCCTAACTAATACCCTGATTTAGAGAAACTACATAAAATCAAATACAAAAAATATAGAGAAAATCAAGGAATAATTACGTAGGATCTTGATTCTTAACAATAACTACTTAACGAACATTGTTGATAGAATAAACGATTTTTAAAACTTTAAAATGCTAATATGATGTATCACCAAATTAGTCAAGCATACAATAGCAAATCAAAACAAAAACACCAAAAGAGATGCAGCTGTCCAAAAATTCTATTGACTATGTTACTTTTCATGCATTTTTAGTTACATATCCAATATTAGACCGTATCGAAAATTGTAAATAAAACTTTAATTTTTCTTTTTTTTTTCCCTCTCTTTTTCCTCTTTTTTTTTTTTTTTTTTTTTTTAAGTAATACTATCTAGTTCTATCTAATCTCACCAAATATCAGTGTTCTACCCACTTATACTCGAGACGTTTTCAAAATGCCTCTCATATGGGATACGCATGTGATAATGTGGTCAAACAATTTCGTTGACTACATATATGCGCTTAAACATCAAAATATACACATCAAAACAAAGTTTAACCATTTTTATATCAAATTGAGCCCCCATAAACATCAAATTAGCCAAAGGAAAAAATTATCATATCTCGGGCCTCAAGTATAGGTCAATTCAATTTTAAGAAAACAAGTTTATAATTCCAAAACACAGGTGGTAAATAAATAATTAAAAATATTTTATTAATTAAATATATTAAGGTCATAATTATACAATTTATGGTCATAGTTACGTACTTATAGATAACAACTTATTTATTGGTCATATATTATCAAAGAGTGATGTTATGCTTACAAAGTAGGTTTACAAAAGAGGTTGACAAAGTGCTTGTTGGCAAAATCAAGACCACTTAATTCAAAAATAATTTTTGAAAGCAACAAAATTCATTGGTCTTGATTTTGCCAACACCACTTTGTCAACCATTTTTGTCAAACTACTTTGTACAAGTAGTTTAATTGATTATGAAATTAATTAGTTAAAAATCAAGAAAATTATAGATGAATTTATTTATAGATCACAAATCACCAATTTTATAGATCACAAATTATCAAATTAGCTAATTACAAATTATTTCTCAATCTCAAATTACCATTGATCATAAATCATCGAATTTTTAGGTCACAGATTAAATAGTTGGTCACAAATTAATCAAATAGTTGATTACAAACAACAAACACCCCACCCACGACCCAATCCCATCACTGATATCAATAGTTGGTCACAAATCTTCCAAATAATCGGTCACTCACAAATCTTCAAATAGTTGGTTTCAAACACTTGAATAGTTAGTTACAAACACTCTTCCCCCTCCCATCCCATCCCACCTCCAACACCAATAATGGGTCACAATAATCAAAATAGTTGGTCACAAACACCTAAATAGTCGATCATAAACAATCTTCATCCACTCCCACTCCCGTCTTGACCCTGACCCCAACCCCACCACTGGCACTATTAGTTGGTCACAATAATCCAAATAATTGGTCACAAATTCTTCAACTCATTCCACACCTATTGAACAGAATGCCACGCCAAGATCAACATTATCACCACAATTTTTGGCAATCAGAACTACCATCATTACTGTCTCTACACCACTTTGCAACCATTGCCAGCACCATCACCTACATTACCACAAAAACCCAATGACCAAAACATGGAAACCACAACCACCACACCAACAATAAAAAAAGAGGGGAAAAAAAAAACCACACCACCATCGATCACCACTAGCAGTGCTGTAGCCAACACCACCTGCATCACCACAAAATCCCAGCAAACACCAAAACATGAAAACAAACACCACCACCACCACTTCAACAAAAAAAAAAAAAGAACAAAATCGTCGATCACTCTCTATAGCGATGCTGCACATGATTTTTGTATAGGTAAATTTTAAACTTTATTTTGAAATTTAATCTTTAAATACATGTTCCCCTGTATTTTCCACTTAGCCAAAATCATGCAAGTCCATGAATTATGCACAGCAATTTGTAGGCTTTAACATTTAGAAAAATATAAAAATTAAAACAAATTTTTTGTAGAGTTACAAACTATCTATGTCGAGCCCGAGCCTCCTTGTTCGATCTTCCTCTAATTTTACTAGCAAGTGCTACTAGTAACACGCAATCAGAATTATTGATGGTTGTGAAGATGAGTAGGAGGTTAACAATTATATCTTATGATCTACAAGAGGTTGTAAAAATTCTCGAGTTGAAATAAGGGAGTCCAATAAAGATGATTTTGCGTCAGATGACTTGAATGAAGAAGAGAAGATTGAATTGGAATCCATAAAGAGTTAGACAACATTTACGGTATTTTTAGGTCGGTATTTATTTCTAATCTAATCATAAGAAATGATTATAAAGTAATTGTAGTATATATATATGTACATATATTTACATATATGTGTGTGTGTGTGTGTGTATATATATATATATATATACATATATATATATATATGTATATGTACATATATTTATATACATATATATATATATATGTATATGTACATATATATGTAGATATATACTTGTTTTTGAAAATTTAAAGAATATATGAAGTTCAAATAATCCATTATTTTATTTATTTATTAGTTAGAATATTTTAAAAATATATAAATATTGGAAAATACATAATTACTCGTATGCTTCTTATTTGATTCCCAATCAAACGCATTATCACGCATTACACATTTTACTTACCAAATGTGCCCATTAATGGGTTAAAATCTTTTATGAGCATTTTAATTATGTTATATTACATGAATTAAATGATTTAGAATCCAAGGAATTTATGCCTTAACTAGAGAGATTCAAGTATAACTAACACAACTAAAAAATAGACAATTAGGAATGAATGGTCTTTTATTGGTGATCAAATTTATACGATCCCTAATGTCTTGAACACGAAACACATTGTCCATATCTAACCAACGAACTCATTTTGGACAAACCAATTCCTCTAAGAATCACATTTTCATACCTAACGAGAACTATTAATGCTTTGCGTGATAATTTTTTACATTACATTGGAGAGCTTTTAGATCTATTCGACCACTTCAGAGGAATTACGATGTGACCCCCAACACGGAAAACTTGATTTGACTTTTGAATGAAAATTATAATAATAAGAATATTTAGGCTTTACAACAGTAAACTCGTGTTAAGAGTAGTAGTCAAAAGTGTCCTCCTTCTTCGTCCCCGGCCCGACTATGGATTCTTTGGAGAATCGAACTTTCTTTTATCATTAAAGACCAGGTCTCCAAACTCAACCCATGTAAGCGATTTCAGGTGTGAATTCTGTTCAAGAGGATTTTGGTTTCGTTTGGTATGTATTCTCTAATATTTGGTCCAAGAAATTTGAGTCTTCATATCATGGATTAATCTTGTTTACCATGGCCACATGGGCTCTGTACAACCAGAGGAGCCAAGTGGCTCCCCTCTATAGGTAGGGCACCTGTAGGTGTGCGCAGGGCCCATGTGGCAATGTACACCTTATAGGGTCCATAGTCAAGTCTAGTTTCCTTTTAAGTTTTTTGCCCAGGGGACATCGTTGGAGAACAATGTCGGGGACAGGGTGAAAACCTTACTTATTTCTATTGGTAATAATAAATTCCTCACCTATGTGGTGGTTTGTTAAAAGGGCAAGTACATGTCTCAATAAATTCAATGAAAAATCGCACTAAAGATGGAATTATGCACTCGCTCGCACTCAACTCCTCTATCCAACTTTATCATCTTGAAAGTTGTCAAAACATGGAAAATGAACTTATAATTCAGTAAATAATATTCTCCCAATAAACATAAAGAATTTCTCTATTAAAAAAAAAAAAAAAAAAGGGAAGAAGAAGAAAGCTTTTATATTTGAAGGACAAATGAAATAAACAATTAATAAAATTGGAAATTTCAGTATGGAATTATTCCTCTTCCACGTTTGGAGAAGAAGAACCTCCCACATGAATGTGATCTCTTAATGCCAACAGGACTTGTACTACTAAAACTATACCTATTCATTTCTTCTACTGACCTTTTGGATGTTCCAATATCACTCAAGAACTGGCACTCTTCCATTTCATAATCTTTCTTCTGTATCATCTTGTCCCTTGTACCCTGGGCTATACACGTGCTAACATGGCCAGGATAATAGGTCGTGATTCCACGAGGGTGAGCTAACCCTAAAACTCTGTCCTCAGTACGGATTGCAAGCTGCAACTTGCTTGGACAATTCCGAAATATATCAGCAATTGAAAAATGATGTTCAGAAATATTATCCATGGACGCTGATCTTCTACTTTGAATTCCAGTGTTCCTAAGCTCTGAATCCCCAGCAGAACTCTGTTCTTTTCTTTGTAAAGTTTCATCTTCTCTGATATCTATCTGTATGTTATCTACCACATCTGGATTCTCATCTTCGGCCAGGCTCTGGGGTCGAGATTCATTACGATCAAGAGGAGTTTCTGAAATCCAAGGGGCTAATTGAGGAGATGATGCATTGACACAAGCGATATTTGCTCGACAGATAGGGCAGTTCGAGTGAGATTTAAGCCATGTATCTATACATTGTACATGGAAAGCATGGCTGCATTTTGGTAAAAGCCTAAGGCTCTCGTTTTCTTCGAACTCACTGAGGCAAACGGAACAATCTGTACCGTCAATTAATCCATCTCCTTTCATGTACTTGAACATTGTAATAGACTTGATAACAGCCTCGTCAATTCCATTTGTTGGGACATGCCAGAACTCATGATTTGAAGGCTCTTGATTGTCTTCGAATTCTGCGTTGGCTTCACTATTTTCTCTTCTTCTTGATGAAAATCTGTTGCCACAATACTTGGAGATGATTACATAATAACTAAGAAGGAGAAAGGCACTTGCCAATATTCCAATAATGGCGATAACGAGTGGCGAAAAATTCGGTCCCGAGTCGTCATCGGGGAACTCATCAGAGGGAGGCGGAGGAGGGAAGATCGGATAGCACCACTGTGGGCAGTACAAACTACAAAAACCTTGAGTACAATCCTTACTGTTTATATATGGCACCCAAGTCTGGGGGTTGCCCATAGACCCCATGTTAACTTAGAAACAAATTGCTTAATGCTCAAATTGACACCCAAAAATTTCATCCAACAAATGAGAGAAGAAGATGCAATCTGCAAAAGAAGAGAAGGGTGGGGTTGTGCAGAGTAAAAAGCAGCAAGAAAATGCTTTGATTGGAATTCTCTTTCTTTTGGCCTTCTCTTTTTCTTTTTCTTAAATTGCTTTCATGGAAATAATGGTATGTTGACTAAAGGTGATCAAGTAGGTTGGAATTTTTATCAAAGCACTCTCAGCACTTTAGTATTTGTGGAAAAAAATAAATGAGTTATTAATGCTTTATTATTGTCTACGACTTTACAGATAAGTAAATTATTTTGCACTATTATTTTTTGTCTTTTCAATAAAGAAGTGAAAATGACACTTGACCTTGCGTTGAAGTTCAAGATTATTAGCCTCTTCTTCTTTACTTTCACAATTTTCTCTCTTTCCTTCTTGTTTTTTGGCTGGCATTGAAAGTTTCTGGGTTGGTATTCAAAACGAAAACTCCAATGGTAATGAAAAGACTTTTATCTGAAAATTTCGTTTGTAAAAGTTTCCCACTTTACCTTCGAAAAATCCATTGTTTACTTTCAACAACTCTCAAAATAACAATGGATTTTTGGTTGATCATTTTTCAATGGTTAATTTTATTAGCAACGGATAGTATGACTTCATCAACGGAAAATCCGTGCCTTAAGCCATATTTTTCGGCAGTGGGAGTCCAAGAAAACCTGGATCCCAGGTGCCTTACTAGCTAAGGATACTCAATGCCCTTAACAAACCAGGTCACGTTATCATTCAATTTTATTTTATTTTTTAATTTTTTTTGACTCAGATATCCGAGCTTTGTCCGACTAATCCTGACTCATGTTATCCTTTTTACAGGAAGGCACAATATGAAAAGGGAGAATCCAGAGGCCAGATGAAACGAAGGAAAGAGAACTACCATTCGTTGTGGGGGCAATACATTTAATACTACAATGAACAATATCTTAAAATTTTCTTCTATTTAATGATGTTAAATTCTATCAAATTCTTCCTACAAAAACGGATAAGCATTGAGAATTAATGGTTATAATTATCAAACGTAACAGATATTATATCTTCACGAGCAAAAAATCCGTGCCTTGAGTCATGTTTTTCGGTAGTGGAAGTCCGATACCAAGTGCCTTGCTAGCTAAAGACACTCAATGCCCTTAACAAGCCAAGTCATGTTATCAAATTTTTTATTTATTTATTTTATTTATTTTTTATTTTTATTTTTTGTTGGTGACTCAGATTTCCGAGTTTTACCCTACTAATCCTGACTAATGTTATCTTTTTTACAGGGAGGCACAACATAAAAAGGGAGAATCAAGAGGCCAGATGGAATGAACGAAAGAACTACTATTCTTTGTGGGGCAATACATTTTTTACTACAATGAACAGTATATTGAATTTTCTTCTCCTTAACGATGTTAAATTCCATCAAATTCTTCCTACAAAACGTAGAGGATAAGCGTTGAGAATTAATGGTTAAAATTATTAAACCAACGATGATAAGAAATACTTCCAACACTTCATGATGGCTCAAGAGTCAGCATGGTAGAAATCTAGTCTAGCAGGATGTGAACTGAACAGCATATATTCTATCTTTATTACCTGTAAAAGCATCAATCTCCAACTCTATAAGCATAAGAATATCTGAACCATAGAATCAAAGCATGTCTGGATACATTCAAATATGGGTCAATCACATATCAATATAGTAAAATCAAAATCAAATATCCGTAATTCAGTTGAAAGAAGTAACTTTTGCAAAGAGGAATCTTGATAAAGTCTTGTAGGACCAGAACTCAACATTCGTGAGGGATGATTAGCTTAAAAATCAAAATCTATCTCTTCCTTGTAGGTTGGAAAATCAAAATTATCACCACATATGCTCGTACGTTATGTTTTCTAAATTTAAAAGATTGGTGACCACTCAAATTAGAGACATTTCCATTGAGATTATCACGATAAATTCGCAAACATAATATTAATAGCCTGTCAAAATTATCTTTGCTCACCTCCTCAACCTAAAGAGAAACAGATGGTTCATCTTAAGAACAAAACATGCAAGAATACTCTTCCACCTAAAATGGTTTGGTCACGCTTAGATCTAGGGACCGGATATAGATAGGGGACCGGAAGAAAAGAAAGAGGGTCACTCGTACCTGTCATCTTACACTTGTCACACAACGGGTAAGAATTTAGCGATATTTAAACCAAGTGGGGTACAAAACCCGACATGCATCCACACATTGACCAGAGTCCAGAGGAGCACGCACAGAAATTAAGCCCTTGTATGGTCCCCATTATTTCCAAAATACATTTTTCTACTCTTATTTTCAACCACATTCTTCAATAAAACAATATTACATGCAAACTCAAAACTTTTCCTTATTTTTTAACCATACATTCTCCATCAATATACTATTCCAAAATGCATTTGGGGAAAAATGGGGTTCAAACATGCTCTAAAACAAAAAAATGTGATTGCAGTCTCAATTATTATGAACATCACACATGAATGTCAGAACTAATACGTCTATTTGTGTCAAGTCATTGCAACTAATACAAGTACATATGTTCCAACAAGAACTAAAGTTTCGGGAACAAAATAATACATTCCTGACAGAAATGTATCAAGAGAATAAGGAAATACTATTGAGAATACATATCCACAATAGCAGACCTTGTTTTTACTTATCAATGTATTATGTCTTAAGCATTCTTTACATGTGAGATATTTGGAAAAATCTGGGAGCTATATTTTTGAAGTTCAAAGAGAGCCAACAAAGATAGGATTCAATGCGATTCAAATCATTTACAAAGAGGAGTCACGACGATAGCAAAAGATTAAAATTCTAATATTTATTAAAGCACAAGAACATAAAAGTCTTGTGGAAATTGAAAATGTTAGCCAAGAAAAAAGAATTTCAATAACTGTTAATCTGATAATTATAAACAATATAATCCATATCAAATATGTATCCATGAAGTAAATAATAATAATCTGCATCTACTGATGACCATAAAAGCAGCTATTAAACCAATAGTAGTTTATGGAAACTCAATATAGATACACTAAACGATCAGAAGACATGAAGGTATGCAAAACACATAAGTAATGGCCAACATATTCTGTGAAATGTGCAAAACGATTATGTGCAAGATGGGAAATACATTCTTGGTTTACTTTATACTTTCTCTTTATCTACACATGAATGCAACATCGAAAAAGCTAAAACCTTGTACCAATTTACGCCTCTTTAGATTCCTCGTTTGTTTCCTCCATCTCATTTTCAAATGCATCAGCATTCTTTTCACTGAGTTTCAAACTTATTGGCCTACCCATCAATTCCTGCATTAAAAACATTGAAAAAAGTAACGTGCATCCTGAACCAGAAATAATCATATAGATACGTGGAAGAAAAACATTTCATCTCTCGCTGGAAATGTCTAAGACTTTAATTATTCATCAACAATTGAATTTTTGGCTTGGAATAAACTATTTGACTCAGAGAACTAGCAGATCCCTGTTCACTATAATTGACAAATCAGATAACATTTGACCGAAAACAACTCTCCCCTTAATACCAACTTTATTCGACAAATTAAGGTCATGACAGCGACTGAGATATGACCCCCAAAAACAAAAAAATAAATAAATAAATAAATCTGAAAATTATATTAATTTCAATTTCATTGTGTACAATAAAGATAACACCACTGAATTTCTCTATATCGAAAAACTCATTTTCTTAATATAATTTCCTAGAAAGCTCAAAAACCATTTGTGGACGTTTAGTAAGTAGTATTACAACATACTCAATAATACAATACTTAAGATTTTAACTTCTTTCTTCTTTAATAATGTTTAAATTTATCTAGTCCCTTACAAAACATTCCAGTAAGGTTCATTGTGCTGATATATTACCACGTACTCAATAATACAATACTTAAGATTTTAACTTCTTTTATTCTTTAAAAATGTTTAATTTTTTCTATTCCACCTTACAAAACATTCCAGTAAGGTTCATTGTGCTGACATATTTACCCCTACAAATCATGCATGCATGATCTTTACTTTCTGAAAAAGAGTTGTTCTAAAGGACCGTGCATAAAGAATAAAACAATGGACCATAATAATTCCAGGGCAGCATTTATCTTCAGAGACTTGGACAGAATTCTACAATATCTTCATTTCCAAAAGAACCAAGTACCACGTGCTGTAGTACTTGCTCCTTGATCAAGCATGATGATGATGATGATTAATGCATATGAAGTGCCCACTGAATGGAGGAACTGGTGAAAAATTTTATCAAGCTATTCAGTTCAAAACTGAGATTTGTTCAAGCATGTGAAACACCAATTTTGAATCACTCCCAGAAAGCAATGAAGATGCTACAATAGTAGTATGACTTTTTCATAAGAACTAAGGGTTTGTTTGATTGCAAAGATGAAATTTGAATGGAAAGAAAACAAATTCCAGGAAATTAAATTGCTTGGAAAATGTTTTCTTGGAAATTGTCAATTTATTGAGTTTGATTCATACAATTTTTCACGTGAAAAATGTTGAAATAAAAGTATTTTTTGGTGTTCGTTTGACTTTGTTTTAAATGAAAATGATCAATTAAAGGAATAAAATTTATTGGTATTGCGAATAAAATTTGTTTTTATTAC